AATTATTATTATTTTGTCTGTGATAGAATAGCTAGTTTTAAAAAGTTTTTCGCCTGTACCAACCCGGATGCAACAGAGCTGCAGGTGGTGGACGCTACAACTGCTAATTACTTCCTGTCTTGAGATATACCGTCAGCCGTCTGATTCTGCAGCCTGCCTGCAAGTGAAACAGCTTTTTAGTACTAAATATTTATTTATGCACATTACAAGTGGGTTTTTGCTCTTTACATCCAAACTAAAACCATTTCGTCAGACAATATAAGAGGCAGGGACATCTGGCCAGGAAAGATGCATATCTTCTGGGGTGAGTTGAACTGCGTCTGGCAGATTTTTTTCAGAAGCTCTCAAATATAAGAACGGAGAACCATCTTGTGGGCTAATATAAAAATTTAAAGTTTAGTACCAAAGATAAAAAAAACATCACTGAGAGAAGGGCAGCACGGTGGTGCAACTGGTAGAGCTGCTGCCTCTCAGCGAGCTGGTCGCCACTGTTCAAACCCCGGTCCACGGGCCTTTCTGGGTGGAGTTTGCATGTTCTCTCTGTGCATGTGTGGGTTTTCTCCGGGTACTCCAGTCGTTTCCTCCCACAGACCAAAAACATGCATGTTAGGCTGATTGGTAACTCTAAATTGTCCCTAGGTGTGAGTGAGAGAGTGAATGGTTGTTTGTCTCTTTTGTCTCCATGTGTCCCTGTGATGGACTGGAGATCTGTCCAGAGTGTCCCCCGCCTCTCACACAGTGACTAGTGGACATGGGCACCAGTGACCCCCGTGACCCAAAAAAGGAAGAAGCGGGTAATGATAATGGATGGATGGATGTATTCTAACGAGACAGATATTTTCCCCCTAAGGAACACGAGTGTGTAGTAAAGTTACAATGAGGTTATGAAAGCATTTGACAAAGTCTGGCACAGAAAGTAGAATGGCTTTTTCAAGAAAACAAATCATGTGTTGACTGCACCAAAATAAATAAAGGCATGTAAAAAATAAATGTGTGGCAGATTTTTCCCTAAAAGTCAATACAAAGGTTAATGTTGATTAAAAATACAAAATAAAGTGTCAGCTGTGTTTAATGTGACAGTAACTTTCATGCAGTCATGGGGGAAAAGTCCACCCTCTTTCCTGACGCATAAAACCACAGAATAAGAAGAGGGTTGGCTGTCACTCGACTGTACGTGTCTTTTTGGAGTCACAGTAGTCTAACATCACATTGTGTAGGTTTATTTATGCAATGGTAGCAGCCAAGTTATCAACTAGAGACAAACGTGTACCTGAGAGCATCATTTCCACCTCACAGCTGCACCATCACACAAAAACCCTCTGAACATGCTGTTACAAAACAACTATAGCAGTAGATAATCTTTAGGAAAAGCATGAAGGAGGTTCTGGTATTTAATTATTACTGTGACATGTGGAGTTGTAGAGCTGCTGATCAGAAGCTAAATTAACTCCCTGGTACTGGGTGTCTCCCAGCTAATGTAACCGCAGCAGTTTACACTCCTGCTGTGTTAAAAGTTAAACATTTCAGATATAAAATGTAAAGCAACCATTCGAGGATAAAATCAAAGGAAGAACTGCTGGGACCAACTTCCTGTTTGAAAACAACATCCCTTTGTCGGCATTTAGTACAAGTTTGAGACGGAACAAATCTGACTGCATGATGTCAAAAGCAGATTGCAAAAGCTGGAAAGACTTAGCAACTGTTTTAGCTCGACAATAAACAACTGTGTCATCAGCATAGAAATTTAAGGATGCATCAGGGATGCTCTGATCTACATTACGTATGTAGATTGTAAAGAGAGTGGGTCCTAAGACTGAGCCTTGTGGTACATCGTTGTTGACAGTTAAATAACTGGAGGAAGTACCATTATGTTGAACACATTGCCTCCTATCTGAGAGATAGTTAGAGAACCAACCAATGGTGTGTTCTGATCAATGCTTCAAGCATCAGTGCTTCCAGTTGCCAACAGCTTAATGGAAAGAGTTTAAGTGTGAAAGTGTCCCTTCAAAAACAGACTTGTGAGAGAAGCAGCATACCTTCCTCCGTAGGCTGAGGCTGGATTGTACGCGGGGTTGGGACGTCCGTACATGACTGGCTGGCTGTAGCCTTTAGACACAGAGTCCCCGTACGCCTGCTGGCCCATAAACTGGGAACCCATACTGCCGCCCATACCAGGGCTGCCACCTGGCATCATATGACCACCAGAGCTCTCACCGGGGCCCATGGGTGCACCGAACACCTACATGGAAAACAAGAAAATGTTATCTTACTGAAGAGTGATGGGTCTTTAGAAAAGTTCCTCTGGGTGGGTGGGTGGAGTGGAAGAGACAGAAGTTAGCAGAAAAAGTCAGTCTGTAGTCAAATCCACATAATAAATAACTTTGAAATAAAATTTGGCAGTATCTTCGTTTTAATTGTAATTAAGTCATCATCTTCAGTCATCACAGAGGACCGAAGGAAACACTGAGTTCTGCTGGTGTGAATTTGGAATCTGAAGGAATAAATCGCACCTCACTGGTTCAAAAGATGCTGAGCAGTTGTTTTGTACTTTAACCATGACCCTCAGCTAGAACAATATGAACAAACTGAATAAATAGTTGGTTCAGGAGCATGAGGATCCCTTTCCTGGGCTTAATCTGAAAACACTTGGTTTGTTCTCACCATTTTAATGTTAATCTCAAAATTCTGAAACAAAATGAACAATTTCCTCTGCACTTTCTTGTTATTTAAATGGTTTCAATAGGCAGACGTAAAAACAAGATAACAGGGAATTTTTTCTGACAATTTCAGGCATTTTAGTTCCCTTATAGAAATACTTAAATCACCAGAATGAACACTTAAGAAAAGACTTTAAAGATGTTGTTAGACAATTTTTTAAACCTTACAACCATACAGTATCCTCAGACAAAAAGGCTAAGAGAAATAATACCAAGTGCAGATGTTATTATCTAATGTTGGATAATTGTACCATGGCTGTGGTGAGAGTAGACATAAACTGTAACGTTGCTGTGATTTAATGCTGAGATGAATATAAATTTATGTTGTTTCAGCACAAACTACAGGAGGAGAACAATGCCCCGTGGTACTGAGTCATGTGTTACCTGGCTGTGTGTGGGATTGGTCACGCCCCACACTGTGGTTACTACAGAAAGAGATCTTGCTTGCTGATTGGTGCCTGGTTGCCAGGAGACTGGCTCATTTAGAAAAGGGCCGTCAGCGCTGCAGAGGGATATGGAGCTGTGTTACTAGGACGGTTGAGGAGAGGCAGAGAGAGCATTCATCCAGATATCAATAACCACAAAATGTCACGGTATCACAAACTGTGTTTCATCACTTCCTTGTGGAAACACAAAGTGTTTAACACCTTGTTACAGCTCATTACTGCTCTAGCACAGAGACGGTGGTGAGTTAAAGGTCACAAATGCATCATTTATTTCAGTGAGCTAACAATTAACGTGATCATGGTTTATTCATCTGACGGTTGAGGTTACCCTTTGCTTCCTCCTTCTAAACCACTTCCTCACAGAAAACCACAACAGCGCAGCTGCCAGAGCATTCCTAAAGAGGTTCCTGCCAATATAGAAGTTGTTCTTGTAATAATCTACTGTCTGTTATTCATAGTTTACTAAAAAGAAAAATATTTGATACAACGCTGAGTGAATAAGAATCTAATTATACAAACGGGTACATACTTTCAGCCATTCTTGTGAACTGAAAACACATTTTTGCTTTTGTTTTTGTCTTCAAACAGACCTGGAGTGGCTAATCAGGAGGACCTGGACATGTCCTGGTGGGCCGGTCTGATGCGTGGGCTGCAGGACAACTTTCTACAATTCATGTCTTGGACAGAAAACACATCTGTTCCCGTTAGCTTTGGGTGTTAACATGTTGCAGTTTGCAACCAGCAGCTGATGATATGATATATATTTGTGCAAACATGTTTGATATTTATTTATTTATTGGGGAGGGGGATTGTCGGTCTACAGAATGCACAACGTTCACGTTCTCCTTTGAGTTCAGGACAGAACACTAAAACACTAAAACCTGAAATATCTCAGCCCTGCTGACAGACCGATGGATTTACTACAAACCCTGAACAGCTGTACTTGTCTGAGGGTCCAAAAAAACCACAGGTGTTTCAAACTGATTTGTATTTTCTTGTCGTTTAAAGTCTAATATTTATTCATGACTTTAGAACTTCTCCCATTTAAAATGTCATTTCAATTTGTAAAGTGGATTGTTTATATTGGTGTGTCCTGCTCAAAGGGCACATATTTGTTTTACTTGCTGTTTTTACTCACTACTTTTATTTTCCTTTATTAAAAAAAAAGATAATGTCATAAACATCAATCTCAGTTCACAGAGAAAAATCACGACTATCAAAAACTGTGCATCCTTATTTATTCAAGGATTCAAAGATTCAAGGTTCTTTATTTGTCATTCGCAGCACATGTGGTGGAATAAAATTGTGGACACATTGTGTCCTAGTTACATCCAACAAAAGTATAAAATGTAAAAGAAAAACAGTAACAAGATCTAAGATATGACTAAGAAAAACATCAACTAAATATACACTAAGCACTAATAGCATAAAAACAAAACGCCCAACAGCAGCACAAACATGAGTCTGTGTGAGCAGATGAGTATGAATGAACACATCAACAAGAAACTGATCAGCAGCAACATGAAACAGATCAGCAGCAACATGAAACAGATCAGCAGCAACATGATGTGATTATTCTGGTTAGAGAATCATGAGTCTAACAGCCTCAGGGTAGAAGCTGTTCCTCAGTCTAGTAACCACTAGCCTGCACTTAATGCTCCTCAACCTCCTTCCTGATGGGAGTGGTGCAAAAAGTGTGTGTGCTGGGTGAGTGTGGTCCTTCATGATGCAGGTGGCACTCATCATGAAGGACCCCACTCACCCATTATCATTGCTAGTAAACATTTAAAAGGCTTTCTTGTGTCAAACAATGTATAATTAATTCGGTACCACTTTACAATAAGGCTCCCCTTATAGATGCTAATAAATCATTTATAGATATGATATTTATTCCTCTATAAACACTTTATAAAACATTAATAAATGCTTATTATGCATTAACTAAGGGTGAGAAAGAGACAAAACTGACCAGTTTCTTGTGAAATATTGAGCCAAATCTGTTCACCTATATATTTAATCATTTTTAGGGGGGAGTAGTGGCGCAGAGGTTAGAGAAGGTGGGCCTGTGATCGGAAGATCGCCAGTTCACACCCCGGCACCAACAACATCAAAAATGTGGGTGGGGTAGGTGAAGCACCCACACTTACCCCCTCCCTCATTCGCCCCACTCTGGGCCCATGAGCAAGACCCTTAACCCCCATCTGCTCCTAAACAGGTCTCTCTTGAAAATGAGTTCTCGTGGCTCAATGAGTCTACCTGGATAAATAAAGGGTAAATGAAAGAAATATATATTTTAAGTTGTTATATTAAACATTTCAGAATAAGTACAATAAATATTTGTAAACATTTCTTTAGCATATAATATTGTATTTTATCAGTGCATTATAAGTATCTACAACTAATATTATATCCTTAAAAATAGGTTTACAAATACTTATTGTGCTTACAAGGTAGTAACTTAATCTGAAATGTTTAATATTACAACTCTAGATTAAATATATAGGTGAACAGATTTGGCAAGAAACTGATCAGTTTTGTCTCTCACCCTTAATTAATGCATAATAAGCAGTTATTAACGATTTATGAAGTGCTTATAGAGAATTAATAAACTATTTATTAGCATCTATAAGGGGAGCCTTATTGTAAAGTGGTACCATAAATTCTAATGGTCTAACATGGTGTGAGACTTGCACTTGTAATTTAAGATGTATTGTAGAAATAAGCTCTGAGAGTTTGGTTCAAAACACAGTTTATTTTGTGATTAATGCTACACTACATGATCCCTGTTCAACATAATAAATTAAAAAGAATTGCTCCCATGCAAGACAAAATTAATCATGAAGCGGCGATGCAGCTTTAATAAAAGAGACGAGTGCAAAATGATCCTCAGCGTGCACGTAACTGATACACAACTAACCCTGGGAGCAGGAGCCTAAAGTTTGTAGTGTGCAAGTGTATGGATACCTTTGTGGAGTGGGAGGCAGGGTTGGTTTCATGGAGCTAAGGGGGTTCATCGGATGAATGGTGGGATCATTAAAGAGCCCCCACTGTCTTTAATCGGCAGCCCTGAGAGACAGAAAGACACACATGAACCAGAAAGCAGCTCGAATGCTGCACAGCAGCAATTCATCATCACTACAGCCAGCGCAGTGTGCACAAAGACCGGCGCCCTCCCACTCCGATCCACTCACTTTAATCTGTGCGTGCATGTGTGTGTGGACTGCGCACTTCAAAACGTTAGCCTATCACTGTCTGCTGCAGCTCTGATACCTCTCTGAGCAGGGGGAGGGGTGCTGCGAGCTAAATTTAGCTTGCTGATTTCAAAAGGAATTTAGGAGAACGGAGATTTGAAGAGACGCACTCGTCTCTGAACAGCGACACAAACACACAGCGATTCACAAAAACACACACATAGTTGTTGTTGATAAGAGTCATCTTCTTATCTTTCAATTTAAAACGGCTGCAATCCTGTTTTATCATTAAAGAATCCAACACAGCTGTACAGATAAACTTGACACAAACACACAATCACTTGTTGACTCATTAGTAGCCATTTTTTTGCCAGCTGACTAATCAGCATTCATAACTCCAAAGATTCAAGCTGAAACACTGAAAGACAAACAAGACGCGTAACACCCCATAATTAAATAGCGCTCTTGAGCAAGGATGTCTCATTTTACTAAATTCCGGTTACCTCGACTCCCTTTCTCCTCATGTTCCTTCCCCACATTCTTCATGTGCGTCACGAGTGGAAACAACAAGAGGAATCTAACGAGAGGACCTCAGACTGAACGAACCTTTTCAAAGAGGAAGTCAGATTTTTTAAAGTGGTTTCAGTGAAGTAGTTCTTAGGTGCACTTGGCTTATAAAAACCTTTTCACAGTTCTATTAACCACCTCATCCAGATCCTATTTTGAATTGATTTTTGCTTCACAGGAAGTGTGGACACTCGGTCTTTTAAACTGCTTTGATCAGGTCTTTTGGTTCCTACTCCAGAGTCTATTAGCTGAAAAGAAGCCAGTCAGTGTTGACGCTGTGACTGGACCAGTTAGAGGTGCGTGCTGATTGGTTGAACAAGTGGATCACTCACCCATAAGTGGATCACTCACCCATCGTGGGCCCTATTTATCACTGTAATTGCCCGTTTGAGTGTGTTCGTTTGTCATGAACCACTGGATGGACTTTGATGAAGATCTCTGAAAGGAATCAATCAATGTGCACTTACAGCTGATTAACGTTTGGAGTAAAACTGATTCAAGACGTACGACACTTAATAACTTTATAAAACATAAAAGGCTGTACCTCAGTCTGTTTTACCGATACTCAAGTGAAATTTGGTGTAGCAGTAGCTGGGTGTCATCCACAGCTCAAATACCAACCGAGTGCTAACAGATCAAACAAGATCTAGTTTAAACTTCGGCACATGGTGCAGTTTTCTTTGTGCACAGAAAATAGAGCTTCTTGTGTAAAGGGGGCTGTGGAGTTTTCTCTACTTCTCATGTGAAAGTTAGTGATGAGAAGGAAAAAAATGTGCTCCCTCTGTAAGATGATAGCAGTGATCACTTGTTCTGTACCTGTTCCAAGTACAAATACATATAAATGTACTGTACTTCTATAATGCCTTTCTATCTTATCAAGACACTCAAAGCTCTTTACAACACAATCTGTGCCTCATTTATCCATTCATACAGCTCTCTACTAGATCTCTACGAAGACTAATCAGAGCTTTATCACATTCATACACTGATGGGACACACATCAGAGGCTATGAGGGGTTCAGTGTCTTGCCCAGGAACTAGGACTGTCACGATAACAAACTTTGCTGGGCGATAAATTGTCTCAGAAATGATTGCAATAAACGATAATAGTGTTTGAAATGTGACAATAATTAGTACTTATTGTCAGATTTAAAAAGAAATGTTGGTTAATTTGTTTTGAGTGCAGTACCTTTTTTGACCACTGGATGGCAGTATAAGACTGTTTGAACCGAAGGATGGAAAGTGAGGGAGCAGCAGTGTGTCTCTTTAAGAAAAATGGGAGGGAGGCCCCTTGACGTGACGTGGGCTGTCTCTCTTTCCTTTTTTCGGTTCTCAAAATGGTGGACGCTCTGTGTGGTTTGAGCTCTTTAGCGTAGCATTTTTCACACAAAAACTTTAATACTAAAAATCAGTAAACAAGTTCTCAGCTTCTTTTTGCAGAGAAAAACAACTTTTTACACGAAGGCACGGCTTTCAACCGTGAATATTGGAGCTTTGACAAGACGGAGGTTATTTCCCCGAGGTCGGCCTGTTAGCTCGTAGCTTAGCTTCTCAGCTTAGCTGCTTTTAACGATCCAAAAATGCAAGTTTAGATGGTTAAAACAGATTTTAAAGAGACAAGAGAAAGGGAGGGGTCACTGAAGAGAACTGAAGTTAAGCTTTTTGTCATCCAGTGTCTTCAGTAGAAAGAGAGAGACACGAAGAAACGATGAAGCCGATAAATGGAAATGGAGTTGATAATCTGCATATGTTCTTCAACAAATCTCTTCTGAACACGATAAGAAACAATGAATTGTTAGCGGACCAAAGACTAGCGCACGACAATTAAAGCATACACTTTAAAAAGCAGTCAAGTAATTTATAAATGCATGTTTAGCTTGCTACATTTTTATTTACTCATCAAAATCTGAATGAGGATATTTTTCAGTATTACATGTTCTTTTAACGATAAATTTATGATTTTTCAAGTTATGGTCCAATAATGTGTCCAGGACAAGACAATGAAAGAAATAAAATGAAACACACAAATAAAACATTGAAAAAAAGCTGAAGTTAACAATGTAAGTTAAGTTGCTCAAGTAAAAAATCATTTTGGAGTCATAAAACAACTAAACAACAAGTGTCTGTAAGAACATTAAGCTGAAGTTAAACACGTTGTTGTTATTTCTAAATTTAATTGGACAGTGAGAGTGGAAATTACATTACACCTTATGAACAAATACAGAAAATATTTCATACCAAAAATATCAACGTACTGCAGTCCTGAGATAAATGATAAACTTTTTATAATCTTGAAATTATGACTTTATTTCTTGCTAATATTTTTTTTTATTTTTGCTATTTATTAATACTTTAAGAATTCACATTTAACATACATACCAGAAAGATTACTATGATTTCCACAAAATTAGACATTAATGAAGGGAAATGACTGTAAACCACTGAGTGGTGCAGATTTAATTAATCTGTTGACGTAATCTAATGAACTTTTCTTAACAATCCTCGGACAGAATGAAGAACAGTATTTTAGCTGCTGCCTCTTTGTGTAAAGGGAATGGGTGTAGGGGGGTACGCAGGTACAGATCCACTGCTGTCTGCAGACTTTCAAGAATCACACAAACACAAAGTTCATGACAGAACGACGAACAGGATTAATGAACATCTTCTCAGCACATGACTGACCAGAACAAGGAGCTGGATTCAACAGAGCGGCGCGAGCGAACGTTGGCTGATCACTTCAACAAACTCTTTACATGTCCGCAGAAAATGTGTGAGCTGTTAAAGACGCTGTAGCTCCACGTGCACAATTAAATATTCCACTTTTACAGAAACAATTAAACTCCACCCGTTTTCTCAGTCACGATGAAAACTGTGCGACAAAACTTTGTGTGGAAGAAAAAAACTGTCAACAAAACACAGAGTCTCATCCAAACCAGAGAATTCAATCTACAGATGCGTTTAAAAAAAAAACACTATATTTTATAGACGAACTGTGAAAAATAAGGTGGTTTATTTAAGTGTATACAGGAAAAAAATGTATTTTCCAAAAAGAACAGTTTCGTTGCTCTCACATAAAAACACATGTGATGTACTTAAAAGCATTTTTATTATTAATCTTATTATTATTACTTATCAATTACTTACAAGTTATTAAGCTTGTTCATTAAGCATAAAATTTTCTGTTTAACTGCAACCGTGTTTACTGTGTATTTGTTAAAACCAGTTACTTAAATTTAAGATGTTTAATTGTTGAAATTGTTTTGATTGATAAGAGGCATTTAATGGGTCAAATGTTACATCTTAAAATATTAAATTTAGGGGGGAAAACTTTGACTAAACCAGTTTTCATAGGGCCCCTGCATTTGTTCATTCGAATGTTTGAATTTAAAAAATGCATTACAGGATAAAACAGCTTGTGACGCATGTGCCAACGACCTGACATTAGAGCAACACGCAGCAGACACACGGCTTGTGTTGCAGACATCATCACAGCCACATCATGTGAAGACACAACAGGATTGTTTGACTTGGTTCAAAAAACAACACCCCTACACCAAGACGATCCATCTCGCAGTCCATATTCCTGCTTTCTTCTCCAGCCTTTCTCTAATGATTTATTTTATCTGACACTTAACAAGTGACATGTAAATTTCCCAACATCATCGCCTTGAACATCCCCTCCCCCATCTTATTCCTCCACCACTGGTTTCCTTTTTGTACTTTGCAGATTTGGGTCAGACATCTTGTATATTGTATAAAAGGAGAGAGAGGGAGGGGTCCTACTTGGATCACATGACCACCAAACGTGAAATCCCTCCTATCAAGCACCTTGCAACTTGCACCAGAGCTGAGCAACAAAACCACACAAGAGGAGGGGAGATGTGCACGACGCCAGGCTTATCAGATGTTTACAGTGAGCACAAGCAGCACAGACTGTACCTGTGAACAAATGATTGATACTTTTCTCTCCCGGCCTCTTCTGACCTGAGATTTTTGACATTTTCTCCAACCACAAGCCCTCTCCTCCAATCCAGCCATTCATCTCTGCTGATTCCTTCCCTGCGAGCGCCCAGCTCCTGCCGTCACAACAACAACCACACCAACGGAGACTCAACCTGTAGCCAGCCCTGCAGCAGCTGCATCGTTTCATCAGAACCGAATGCACTCGTGCACGCAGCAGCAAATGATGCACATAAACTTTATGTGAGCTTCATGTTATTGGTTTGAATTCTGTTGGTTGTGTCCAAACTTCACCTAACAGGTCCAGAAGCTCTAAACGGAGACAACGTCCAAACTCAAATTGGTCGT